TAGATAATTTCAATTTGTAAATATGGAGGCAATCACCAGAAGAAATGAAAACAGAAAGTTAAAAGTGATTGTTGCCTATGAAGATCTCCTGCTTCTCAGTGTAGGCCCTTTTGTACAACTGCATTTTTTTCATAACAAATGTATGCATTATGTACTATGATAAAATCAAAACAGAAATTATCTAGGTGTGAATGAAGACCTGAGTCAGGACCAACCTTTGATGAAACTAGGTAATTTTTTTGAAGGTGACATTTATTTTCAACGCTTTTCATGCTCTCTTCTCTCTCAATATTTGTTGTTTCCCAGTATCAAAGCCGTTCACTTCTTTCCCGCCCTTGACTTCCTTCCTTCCTTCACTAAGAAAAATCCCATCTCGTTTTTTTTACTCAACTTTGATCTTCACAAAATTAGCCTGTTCTTGGTCCCATTCTAAAAATGACTTGTCAGTAATAATTGAATCACTGAAATTCCTTTCCTCCTCCTGTTCCCATCCCTGCCAAAATATTATTTAATGTGTGACCTCATTTAGGGAGATGAGATGGGAGACTTTTATGTGCTTGCTTTTGTCTTGTTTTTTAATCTCAGAAACAGTTGAGTTGATCTTTTTTAAATTTATTATTGTTTTATTTATTTATTTATTTTTGGCTGAGTTCGGTCTTCGTTGCTGCGTGCAGGCTTTCTCCAGTTGCAGAGAGCATGGGCTACTCTTTCTTGCACTGTGCAGGCTTCTCACTGCAGTGGCTTCTCTTGTTGTGGAGCACAGCCTTCCGTAGTTGTGGCTCGCAGGGCCCTAGAGCACAAGCTCAATAGTTGTGGCGCACGGGCTTACTTGCTCTGCGGCATGTGGGATCTTCCCGGACCAGGGTTCGAACCCATGTCCCCTGCATTGGCAGGCGGATACTTAACCACTGCACCACCAGGGAAGTCCTGATGTGACTCTTCATTTCATAGTGTATTATCATTATGGTTCATACACAGTACCTTGTGTGATGAATTTATCCACTTTTATTTTCATCCCCAGCTCCCATTCTTACATCCTTGAAAATTTTTATTTTAATTAATTAGCTAAAAGGAATCAATCTATATTGACAGACTGTCAAAGCACTGGGATAGGTGGGGGAAGATTATTTGGGAGTGTATGAGAAGGAGGGCCTTCCCAATGGACTTCAAATTATAGCATCTTTATAGGGTTCACGTCATTCTTTTATATAATGACTCAGTAGTCACTATTAACCAGGGCTGGAGTCAGGATGACTCTTAAATAGTTGCTGAGATGTTTTCTTATTACAAGGTCTCCTTAATGTGATTTAAACAGGGGCTAGGACAACACCCCAAGCATGTGGGTGCCTAATAAATATTATCCTGCAATGATAATGATGATGTAAAACTTCTGTAGGCTTAAAGATCAATGACTTATTCACCATACACCCTTAATTTACATTCTTAAAACACAGACGAGGCTCATCATTGACTGTTTTATATGCTTGGTCAACATGTTGCATATGGGCTAAACAAATATGTAGCCTACAATTATTACTTCCACTATCATTAACTAATGTCCACCAATAACATTACATAACGTATACAACAAAAAGCATCTACTTTGCAAAAGTGCAGCACACTGTTTTGTATTTCCTGTATCTCATTTATTCAATAAAATTTTTTTTCGATGATAAAAAATATTTTTGGAACTAACACTCATCCAGAAGCTCATTACTTAGTGCAAACAATGATTTTCTAGATAGGGAGAAAACTATGTATCTTTCTGTAGATTAGGACACATTTTGCAGCATATTTTGCAATTTTCTTCCCAGAAGTATGAAATTTCTAACAGAAAGATGATGAAATATATTGAATTGAAAACACTTAAAGGCAGGAACTAGCTTCTATTTTTTTTCACTATATTTCTTTCTACACTTCTAAATAGTGTGGACTTTTATCTTCATATTGTTTTATAGAGCTCACATATTTGTATTTCTCTTGTAGTGCTATTAGTTCTACAAGAGGCCTGATTTTTTTTTAACTTTTCAAAAATATTCATTCTTGGGGAATTCCCTGGTGGTCCAGTGGTTAGGACTCCACGCTTTCATTGCCAAGGGCCTGGGTTTGATCCCCGGTCGGGGAACTAAGATCCCACAAGTGCGTGGTGCAGCCAAAAATAATAATAATAATAATAATTCTTGGAAAATCTCCCCTACTAGGTTTCAAACAATCTGGGAGAAGATCCTGTCTGACTTCATCCATGTATATTTTTCAGTAACAAGTTCAGTGTCTCGCTCATAAATATTGCTCAAATAAAGGAATGAATGTAACTTTTTCTTTCTGTGGGGTTTTTTGCCAGGTCACGGGGCTTGTGGGATCTTTGTTCCCTGACCAGGGATAGAACTCGGCCCCAGCAGTGAAAGCACAGAGTCCTAACCACTGGACCGCCAGGGAGTCCCCTCTGTAGTTTTTCACACTTGATTTAAAATAACTTCAAAAATGTTTAAACAGAGTAGTTGCCCTCCAAAAATTTATTTCCACCTTCACTATTTGTGATCACCAGTAGGGATGAGCAGAACAAGCCCCCAGCAAGACAGTGAAACATAAAAAGAACAATAAAAGAAAGAAAAAGAAAAGAGCGTGGTCTATATTATACTCACTTAAGACAAAAATAGGGAAGCCGATACTTTTGAGTGAAAATATTGCTATGTATTTTGTGCTGCAGATATTCAACTTTATATTATAAAAAATACTACTTATGTAATAGGAGGCAAAGTGTGAATCCTGGCTCTGCTGCTTGCTATGAGACGTCGTTCAAGCTACCGCCCTTGCCAAGTCCGAAAGGTAATAATATCTACCCCACGAGGGGTTGTTCAGTTGATGAATCGAATGAGGGTGACTCAGCACGCGACTGACACATAGCCAAGCGCTCAGCGTGGCTCCTTCATTATTAACAGCAAGTGAAGTTAGCATGTCTGTGACTTGGTCAAAGCAACACAGACGCACTCGGACAGGATGCAGAGTTTGCGTCCTGTTCACGGGTTGGTACCAGCCAGGCATTGTAATAGCTCGACCCTGAGTATTATATTCGAATCTCAGGGTTGCCAGCTAAAAGTTGGAACTTGCCATCTGCCTCTACAAGGATGAAGTCGGTAGCCACTGCAGCCGCTGACCTCCAACACTCCCTGAAAAGACTTGAGGGCTGAGATCAGGAGTAAGGCGCGCTTTGCTCTGGGAAAACTGGCAGAACAGGCTTTCAGATAGTCAGGCATTTTCAGATTTTATGATCCCAAATACTGGCATCTCCTTGTATCTAGAACAGCACTAGAATCATTAACGGTGACATCTGCTCCTTGTGACGAGCAGCAAGCCTCTGCCAACATGTGTGCTTGATGACACTACCTCCCTTCACGTAAATCACATATATACTGACCTCCGGAGCAGTTCCTCGGAGCTGAGGGGCTATGTCCCAGGCTATAGCCCTCATCTTGCCCCAAATAACAATTAACCCACAACTCTCCGTTGTGCAATTGTTTTCAGAGGACAGGGCGTATAATTGGCTCAGCTCCAAGCCGGTACTTCAGCGCCCAGGGTATCTTATTCTGGGCCCCACGTGGAGCTCGGAGAAGACCCTGCGCCTCTAAGGACCAGACTGGGAGACACATCAGGCCAGTGACTCCAAGCCCTCTAACGCACACACCATTTTAAACGCGTGCTTTGTGCAGCGGAAGAGAACGCAGCACATTCCGAGCCAAGGTCAAGGGACGACCTCTCAAAATAGGATCCCATCCCCAACGAACTAAACATAAAGCCGGCGCACCGCGAAAATTACACCCTCACACACCTGCCGCCGCCGCCGCAACTGCAACCGGCTCCCGGCATGCCCCGCGGCTGGCGGCTCGGCGCGCCTGCAGCACGACAGGGGCGGGGCCGCGGCCGTAAAGCAGTACCGGAAATTACGTGGCTCTGGCGGCCCGGCGCCTTTGCAGCTTGGCGGGCACGCCGGTCATGGCCGGCCCGGTGCGGGGCGGAGGTCCCCAGGCCTTGGACCTGCTGCGGGCCTTGCCTCGTGTGAGCCTGGCTAACCTGAGGCCGAACCCGGGCTCCAGGAAACCGGTAAGGCTGCGGGCGGCGCGGGGGCCTTCGGGGTCGCGGGTCCAGAGGAGCTGGGGGAACCAGGGGCCCGTGAGCCCCTCTGCTTAGGTGACGCGGGAAAACCTGCCCACGTGGTCCCAGTTCTCGGTAAGGTTCAGGTTTAGAGGCTTCATTACGTTAATTAGGGCGGGGGAGCGAGGTCGCGGGAAGTACAAATGATTGCCTCATTTAAAATTGGGTTTAACATGGAGTGCTTTTCCATCATACTTTATCTTCATGGGAAAGATTTATTACATTTGATGTCTCTTCTGCAAATCGTTGAATATAGCTAGAAAAGCTGTCATGGACATACTGTCACTTTAAAAATCAATTCGTTGCTTTCCTAAAGTGACAGGATGTAAAGTAAGAAAAATATTTTCCTTATAAATTGGTATTTAAATAAAACGCTAGATATGGGTAACAATGGCATATTGACAATTAATTCCAAAATAAATGCGCTTACGTATCATGCAGACTTTGCTTGTTGTGGATGCTTAATTCTACAATTTTTTTCAGTTCCAACCTGTCACAGTCTCCTCTTTTTCATCTCATTCTTGGAACTTTCCCTTTGAAACACAACTTGGAGTTTGGTTGCAAGAATTAGCTACATCTTCAGAGGCAGAGTTGCTCATGTGGAGTGTTTGGACTTCAGAGCAGCTAGGATGGTGCCTGGCACGTAGTGGGCTTGGCTAGTCCTGCTTGGTTGGATGAATGAAGGGCGTAACCAAGAGATGCAGTGCAAAGGTGAAATGCAATTTTTAAAAGTGCATCTGTAGATCATAAAACATTCTTCTTTCTTTGCAGGGAAGACGACCAAGAGGTCAGAGAAGAGGTAGGAAATGTGGCAGAGGCCACAAGGGAGAACGACAGAGAGGAACCCGGCCCCGGCTTGGCTTTGAGGGAGGCCAGACTCCATTTTACCTTCGAATCCCAAAATACGGGTTTAATGAAGGACATAGGTAAGTTTGCTTTTCTTCTTAGTGTAAAAGTACCTAATTCTCACTGAGAGTTACCTAAAAATAGGTTGGTAGAAATTTAAATCCACTTTGAGGCAAACTTTCATTGCTGTTTCTCTGAACCATTTTTGGTAATGAAGTTTAGCCTGAATTGGGGAAAAAGCCAGACATTGCACTAAGACTTGCAAAATGGAGATAATGGTGCCTGCTCGTGAGGTTTAGGGCGATTACATATATAAAATCTGACTCATTGTCGTCACCCAATAAATGGTAATCACTATTACTTTGAGTTTCATTAATGTATAATTTACATAGTGGGTTAAATATTTATTTATTTGTGTAAATGAGTGAAGTAGATGCCTAGGCAAATAATTGTTGGTGAAACAAAGTAAGTACTTACTGGTTTTGTTTCATTGCCCCCAAATCAAGGAATATTACATGTTTATGCCATACTCAGGGGTTTTATTTTGTTAAACCATATAAATTGATGGAGGAAAACCCAGGACAAAGCTCTGAGTTGATCTGGAGATCTTGCTGGAAGGTAAGTCTAGCTGAGTTTTCCAACTACTGTTACTTTCTTGTGTAGCTTCAGACGCCAATATCAGCCTTTGAGTCTCAACAGGCTGCAGTATCTTATTGATTTGGGTCGAGTTGATCCTACACAACCTATTGATTTAACCCAACTTGTCAATGGGAGAGGCGTGACCATCCAGCCATCTAAAAGGGATTATGGTGTCCAGCTGGTAGAGGAGGTAAGTCTGAATTAGATTTTTTTTGGAGTTACATAGATGGCTATTTCTGATTTCCACATAATCGACACTCTGCCTGCTTTATTTTTATCCCTTTTGAGTTGTCATAAGCATTATGTAGTGCCGATCGTGTTATACTTGTTGTGGTTTTAGAAAGCTGCGTGCTGTTGGTGGCGGGAGGCAGGGGCGGCTCTGTTCCCTGGTCCTGGGATGTTCTTCTTCTGTGTACCCATTCGTACTTCTCCCTCACTGTTTGGTTCTCTGTTCAAATGTCATCCTAGTAGGAAGATGTTTTTGACATTCTTTATAAAGGAACATTCATACCCTCATACCCGACCGTCTGCCTTATTCTGCCCAAAGGATTTTTCTTTGAGTGTATCAACACCTGACACTTATTACCAAGTAATGCATTTATTTTTCATTGTTTTTCCTCATTGTGATGTCAGTTCTTTGCGAGCAGGTACTTTGATACATTGCTGTATTTACAACATTGGAAATATTGGCTTGTGATAGTCACTCAGTATTTATGGAAGACAGAAATGAATCAAATCCAGTTCTAATTGTAGGGAAGCGTTTTTCTATTTGTAGAAGTTGGCCAGGAGTTTCATAAGCAAATAAACTTGTAGATTGTTAATCAACTACCTGTTTCTTGTATGTCAGTAATACGATATTGCTGTGTAAGTAACTTAGTGTCCACTAGAGGGGAGCATTGTTTATGGGAAAACCTTTTAGATTCCTTTGAAAAAGTACACTTGTGGATAGAAGTTTTCCAAATAAAATGATTCGAAGAGAGAATACCAAATACACCATTAAGCCTCAGTATTCTACTTGAGGCGTATAAGGGAACACAATTGTAGATTAACATATGGAAAAACCCATGACCTCACCAGACATTAATGCACATCCCAACAGCTTTCAGGCATGTGTCTATTAAACTAGCAAAAATCATTCTGAAATCTACAGCAGAACATTGGTTGAATAAGTACAGTTATACATTATTTACAGCTCTGTAAACTGCCTGCCCTTTTCTGGATTTCAGATTTGTAGTAAGTAGTGGATAATAAGACTATTTTGCTCTTTTAGCACAACATTACCAATTTGGGAACAGAAGTCCTAAGGAAAAACAAAATAAAAGAAACCTAATTGATATAATGAAATGCTAAATATTCTTCTTATAACACTGAAAACGCTAGAACTAACCCCAATGCCCAAGGATGGGGAAATGGTTAAGCAATCTGTGGAATAGTAATTAGAAATCTCAAATAATATGGCAAGACTTTGTTTCATTGAGTCAAAAGTGCCATTGACTGTAAAAATGCCTACCAGTATCATAGATGGGAAAAATGTGAGAAAATGTGTCTTAGAATTGATGGAATATTTTGAAATTGGGAGCCAGCTTGTTTCGGCCGCACCAAAATAGCAAAAAAAATTTTTATTACTGCAAAAAGAATGGTAGTGCCACCATCTTTTTATTTTGTCAGAATCTGTTCTGAAATTAGAGTAAAATATAGCACATCCTAATGAAAGTGCCCAGACAGGACTTTAAAAAGTTGAGTACTATTTTTATTTTTGTTGTTGTCTCTGCCCCTTTCCCTAGAGGGGCCCGGCCCCTCCCAAGCTCAGATACTTTGTTCTTTTGCTGGCTCGAGCCCACTTGCCCCCCTCTTTAACCAGCTCTTGGCCTCTTGCCTACTTGTGGGTCAGGAAGGTAAGTTTTTATCTGTGTTACGTGGCATAATGTGGTTAGGAACTAGGGCTCTGGGACTAGACTCCCCCTTGCTTTGTGAACTTGGGCAAGTTGCTTAATCTCTCTGTGGTTCAGTGTTGCTGTCTGTGACATTGGTGTGGCAGTGATTCTGTTGGTTTAGAGTTGTTTTGAGGATTAAACAATCTCCTGTTACTGAAGTAATGGGAATGTGTATTTATGTTGGTGCCCGCCAAATGCATAAAATGGAATTCTAGTCATCTCTGCTCATAGGGAATGAAAATTGGTAAAACAAGTTGGCCTAAAAAAACGTGGAAGAATTTGGTGTTTGAAAGGACCTCAAAGCAGAGGTATTTAAAGTAGGAATAGCTGTCACGTTGCAGGCCCTTTAGAGGAGAAGACACAGTGTAGACGGGAAGCTCATGTAATTAATTCACTTGTAGCCAAGCCGTCTCCTCACAGACCTTGTTTTGACGGGTGACAGGGTGCTGACACCTTTAAGGCAAAAGTTAACATTGAAGTACAGCTGGCTTCAGAGCTGGCCATCGCCGCGATCGAGAAGAACGGGGGTGTCGTCACGACGGCCTTCTACGACCCTCGAAGCCTGGGTAAGCTTGTTGCCTCGGGGTCGCGTGCTGACTGCCACACGAGGGTTTGACTTGCTCTGCAGCCCCCTTGGGTTCCTGTTTGAGGGGTTTCTACTACTGGTGTGGCTGGTGGCGCTCCGCCTTCTCATACACCTCAGCCAGTGTGTCATAAAAAGGTTTTGTTTTTTAAAACATGGGGCTTCAATATGCTATTTCCCATGTTTAGAAATTCACTCGCTGTTGGTGATGCAGGAGTAACTTTGACTTTCAAGATGCAGACTTTTGAAAGTGAAGTGTTTCCATACCTGTTTAATAAAAAAAAAAAAGTTTTGGGAATTAAGTTTTCCTCTTGGAGATATTTTAAAATTAATAATTAAAAGAATACCATTATTAAGAGAAAATCATTATGTATGTAGGCAGTATTTCCATCTCTCTCTTTCTATTTAAACATGTTTTTTAGAAATTCTGTGCAAACCTATTCCATTCTTTCTCCGTGGACAACCCATTCCCAAGCGAATGCTCCCCCCTGAGGCGCTGGTAACCTATTACACTGACGCAAGGAATCGTGGTTACTTGGCGGATCCTGATGAATTTCCTAAAGCAAGACTGGAGCTCGCCAAGAAGCGAGACGATCACTAAAGACGAGCTCTTCAAAATGCTCAGTACTCGAAAAGATCCAAGGCAGATTTTCTTTGGTCTTGCTCCCGGGTGGGTAGTGAATATGGCAGATAAGAAAATCCTCAAACCTACGGATGAGAATCTCCTCAAGTACTACAGCTCCTGAGTTCCTTCCAAGAGAGCACATGGGAAAAGAGCACCAGAAAGGGACTGAAAAACGTGTGTTTCCCATTGCATTTGCTTAATTTGTCATTCTGCAGATGTTGGTGTTTTCTGTGTAATCATCTCTCTCTTTTTTATCTAAATTAAAATAAAAATACAGTAATCAAGGACTGCATAGAGGATCTGGAGGGTCTGTGTGCTTCTGTCTCCGTTCTGAGCTCCCTGGTTCTCTGTCCAAGGAAGAGTGTAACTCTTAGTCAATTTCCAGTTGAGTCTTCCGTCATCTTTCCATCCAGGTCTTGTCTTACTGTTGCAAATCAGAGTGAACGTGCAAGTGGGATGGGATTGCTTTGTCGGCTGCCTGGTCAAGGTCAGAGGGCCGCTAATGAACTGGTGAGCCTCTTCCTCGGTAGCCGCAAGGAAGCGCTGCTGCGCAGCGTCAAGACAGCAAAGCCTTCAGCTTGGGATGATGAAGGTGTGGGGTGTGAGGTGAAGGTTTAAGACTGGTGAGTAGCTTCTAAGCAGTTCAGTACTTGCTAGCAGAATCGAGACCAAAACTCCAAGGGAATTCATTTTCTCAACTCAGAGTAGACAGATGATCAAGCCAGTATCATTTTTTTCCTTGAAGAAGGTAAATGTTCTAATTGGTATGATTTTACTTATTTCATAGACTTTGGAAACCTTTGTTTTTCAGTCATTTTAAATGCTTTTGAAAAAATGGTCAGTGATTATATAAGCCATAAAAACAGTTGGTCATGTGGAAGTTAAACTCAGTTAATTTAAAAGGTTCAG